TCATGATATCACGAGCCAGTTGGGGAGAAGAGACCACGATGGTGGGCTTGGCGCCCAAGTGAAGGAGAAACAGAGGACCATAGCGACGAGCATAGTTTTGGAGAGTGATATGAGGAAGGCGGCCGAGCTTCAAAAGGTGGCCGAAGATTGGATGCTTTGGCGGAGATGGTGGTGAGGCTTTTGATGTGTTTTGATTGGAAAGCAGCCATTTTTGGAGAAGGAAGATCAGGATAAGGACGAAAGCAGTGCACGAAATTGGATGAAGAAGAAGAGTCTGAAGAGTTTGAAGAGTCTCCATTGCTCTCTCTCTCGCCTAATTTAGAAATTGAAAGATGTGGCTGTCTATATATATAATGATTTAAGGAATCAAATCCGAGGAAATTGAGAATCTAGGCTTTAGAATTGTCACCACACATATTTTTACTCGAGACCTGTGTCCGTAGATGAAGTGTCTATCTCGTATGGCTCTTATGAGACTATATGTTGTCTTACTCAAGAGGTGAGCTGACTCAAAATGGCAACGTAGATGAAGTGTCTATCTCGTTTGGCTTTTATGAGACTATATGGTGCCTTACTTAAGGGGAGAGCTAGCACCTCTTAAGTTCATAAAGTCACCTATGTTGAGGACGCGACCCCTCACCCTTATCCCATCTAGCTAATGGCTTGTATAACGTGGGTCAAATTGTCCTTAGAACAAGAGATTTGACAAGAAGGCCTAATTTAACGCCTTTCATTGTGGTATGATGGAGGAAGGGATGTTCTAATAGATGCTCTAGGTGATTATGGGTATAATTTATGTTACAATTTTCATGCAACCGTAGGAATACCTTTTTGAATAACATATGTGAACGGGTAGACATGATTTATGTGTTAGAGACAATTGATAGATATATTTTTCTAATAGAGCATGCATCAAGATCACAGTTAAGATTAGGACGCTATAGCTAGTCAATTTACATGCACAACTAGAGGTTAGACCTATGTGCATCCAGGGATTGGTTAAGCCGAGGGGCTAACCTAGAATGTCCTGGAAATGAGAAAATGGAATTTAAACCGCATGAACACCCTAAGAACCTAGTAGACCTCCACGATGCATTAACATGATTTAAGTAACCTACATAATCACGAAATTAGTTGAGTTACTATTGAGTGTAAAGTCAGGGCAGGGTTGACGCTCTAATCCTGTTAAACCAGTTTTTGAGAGAAACTAGTGACTACAAGGGTAGTTAGCTCAAGACATAGATCCCTATTAAGTGTATAAACATTCGAACCTATAAACTAGTTTTGGTTGGACTAGGGACTACATGAGAAGGTGCCAGTATGAGAGCCCCTATCAAGTGTAGAAACGAGTCAACGCCGACGTTGCAACTTCGTAAATCGGTGTTGGAAGAGATTAGGGACTATGCAGGTAGGTGATTTAGTATGAACACGTCTAATGAGTGTAGGAACACGTCAAGGCCGACGCCGTGACACTGTAAACCAATCTCGAAGAAGGATTAGGGACTACACAGATGGACAATCAATTGAAATTTCAAGAACTACATAGTAGCTTAGAGAAATGTAAGAGTGAGCTCGATCTTCTTATAGACGAAAGAAAAGTCGTGGGAATCTACTAAAAGATGGAAGCGATGAGAGCCTATAAGTAGGTTGATTACTGAGTATATTTTTATACTCATCATTCTTTCCCTATCTTTTTCAGGTATCGATTGAGGTGCGAAGGCACTCGGGAACTGCACTATCATAGAGGAGTGTCGTTCTGGAGCGTCATTCCGATTTATTTAATAATATTTTATAGAAAGAAGATCAAACAAGAAAATAGTCTACGAGAAGTAGATAAACAGTTTATGTCCACGTACTATGAGTTGTACGACATCAAGTCCCTCTAACAAGAAGTTGCGATTGCCACAAGTGGATACTCCCTATGAGTGGCTAACCCAAACACTCCAGACATGTCCAAATCCTCCCCGGCTGCTCCATTCGGCAACTTCCACTCAAATTTATGCACCACATTCGCCAAAGCCATCTCAATCATTGCCATTGCAAACGAAATTCCAGGACACCCTCTTCGCCCTGTACCGAACGGGATCAACTCCAAATTGTGACCCTTAAAATCCATCGAACTCTTCATGAACCTCTCCGGTCGAAACTCCTCTGCCTCTTCCCACACCTCTGGGTCTCTTCCAATGGCCCATACATTGATCATAACCCGAGTGCCGGGATTAATATCGTATCCCTTCACCTTAATGTATTGGCTCGATTCTCTGAACAGAAGCGGGAGTGGTGGGTGTAGCCGCAACGTTTCCTTGATTGTTGCCTTCAAGTAAGGCATCTTTTCTATATCCTCCTCACCCACATAGCCTTTCCCACCCATTATTTCCCTCATCTCACCCTTCAATTTCTTCATGCTTTCTGGGTGTTTCAACAATTCTGACATTGCCCATTCTAATGCTGCGTACGTCGAGTCTACGCCTGCTGCAAACATGTCCTGTAATCAAAATCACAACGTTGATAACTCGAGAAGAACAAATGCCCGGCCTGTCACTGGGAAAGAGTTCCACATTGCCTAATTTAGTAATGATCCATTGGTACGAGTTATTTTGGGGAAACCCAAAACAACATACTAGAGTTTATGTTCATGTTCAAAGTGGACAACATCATACCATTGTGGAGAATAGTTACTCCTAAAATGGTATAAGAGTCATGCCCTTAACTTTCTCACGTCAATAGAATCTTCATGTATCGAATAAAGAAGTTGCGTCGAACAAAGGGTGCACTTTGTTCGAAGACTCCAAGGAAGGAGCCGGGCCTCAATTAAGGAGAGGCTATTCAAGGGTTCCATAGGCTTTAGGGGAGGCAGGCTTTACCGTGTATTTTGTTCGAGGGGAGAATTGTTGGGAGGGAGTCTCACACTGGCTAATTTGTGGGACGATCATAGGTCTACAAGTAAAGAATATATCTCCTATGAGCCATTTTGGGGAAGCCCAAAGCAAGGCCATGAGCTTATGCTCAAAGTGGACAATATCATATCGTTGTGAAGATTCGTAATTAGTAACCGGGTCTTACCAAGATAAAAGCTGGACAATATCATACCGTTGTGGAGATTCGTAATTAGTAATCGGGCCTTACCAAGATTAAAGCTTTTATGCTCTCCATTTGAAGGGGGAAACCAGTGGAGTTCTCTGCTTGGATACAGAGTAGAATATCCACCAAGTCCTTGTGCTCTGCTCTGTTCTGTAAATGAATATGATCTTCAATCACTTCATCTAACAAAACGTCCAGCTCTTTGGCTACCCTCTTCGCTTTGACGTCGAACCCAGTAATGCCATCGATCCAACCCAGCAATGGAACGTAGTCTCGAATGATAAAACTCGCCATTAACTCCCCAAATTGCAAGAGAAGGGCTCTAAGGTTCGACCCATCTTGACCAATCCCATATTTTCTCCCAAAAGCCACCCTGCAAATCACGTCGTTGGTCAGTCCAGAGAAGAGTTCAGTCAAATTAACCGAAATTGGATTGTGTTGGATGTTGTCGATCATGGCCTTCACTTCTTGTTCTCTAACACAACGAAACGATTGGACACTGTTGTGGCTCAAAAGACGGACCACCCCGATGCTTCTCATCCGCCTCCAATATTCTCCATAAGGAGACATCGCTATATCTTTCGACCCATAAAGAAGCTTATCAGCCATGCTTGATTTGGGTCGATTGGCAAAGGTAAGATCGTGAGTCTTCAAGATATCACGAGCCAGTTGGGGAGAAGAGACCACGATGGTGGGCTTGGCGCCCAAGTGAAGGAGAAACAGAGGACCGTAGCGGCGAGCATAGTTTTGGAGAGTGATATGAGGAAGGCGGCCAAGCTTCAAAAGGTGGCCGAAGATTGGATGCTTTGGCGGAGATGGCGGCGAGGCTTTTGATGAGTTTTGATTGGAAAGCAGCCATTTTTGGAGAAGGAAGATCAGGACAAGGACGCAACCACCGAACAAAATTGTATGAAGTGATGATGGAAGAAGAAGGAGAGTTTCCATTGCTCTCTCTCTCTCTCTGCTTTTACCTGAACGAAGAGGTGGCTGCATATATAATGGTTCAAGGGGTTGGACGATCCAAGTCAGCCATATTATATTATTATTAGTGTAGAGACCATATATATATATATATCAAAAGTTTTCTAATTTTAATCTTAAAAATCAAATAACAAGAAATAGAAAAATAAAAAAATATGAATGTTTATTAAATGGATGAAAGAGTAGAACGGTCACTTTAACTATAAAAATAAATTATACCCTTTATTACCGGTTAGTTAAATGGTATATGTTTTGCTTCTTTAATAAGTTAGTTTCAAATTTTTAAGATATTTGTTTTATATATATAAACATATTAAAAGAAGAACAAACAACTTTGTTCTTTTGGGATATACAAATCCTCTAATAATATAGATTGGGTAATTAGCAATTTTAGAAGTCAAAAATATACATTTACACTTGATACTGTATTTAAAAAATATAACTATAAAATTTTAAAATGAGTATTAATACCTTTATTTTTATTAAAAAAAAAAATTTAATAATCATTACTCTAAATGTGACATTTTTTAAGTTTATTTTTAAATATTAATGAAATATTTGAAAATGGGAGAATATTTTTTAAATGGAATATTAATTTTTAAAGTATTTTATTAGTTTAACCAAAAAAAGAAAGAATTAAAAGCTTACTCGGATGGAGAGAGTTGTTAGTTTTTCTTTCCTAAAAAAAGAAAAGAAAAAGAAAAGAAAAAGAAAACTATAATTATTATATTGTTAAAATAAAATAAATAGCACGGAAAGTGTATGCCACCGGAGGTGCGATAGGAAACGGGAGGTGGTGATAATTGTGGAGTAAAAAACGACACCGCAGCGCAAAAGGAGTTTTTGGTGATTTTAAAATTGTAAGAGGGATAAAATAGGAATTTCAGGAGAAGCCCTAGGCGCCCTTTTTTGGAGCAGTAGCACACAAACTCGGGGGTACCGAAGAGTTGTGGTGGTGGCAGAAATGGATAGAACGCCCATTTGAGGCTCTCTTTCGTCTTCCCATTTCTACAAGATAACGCTCCATTTCTCCTCACTCCCTCAAATCTATCCATTCCCTTCTTCCACAGTTTCTCTCTCGGATTCCTCGCTCTTCAATGGCGGCCATTTCCTTAGCTTCCGCTTCCACTTCCACTTCCTCCAAGCTCGCTTTCCCGCATCCCTCTCCTTCGCCCTTTTCCTCCAAACCCTCCTCTATCACCAACCTTTCTTCCTCTTTCTTGAACCCTTCTTCTCTTCGCCCTCTTACCTTCACTTCTTCCTCTTCCGCCACTGTTAAACGCTCTCCTTCCTTCACTATTCGCGCCGCTCGTGGCAAATTCGAGAGGAAGAAACCCCATGTCAATATCGGCACAATTGGGCACGTCGACCATGGTAAGACCACTCTCACCGCCGCTTTAACCATGGCTTTGAGCAAAGCCCCAAAGAAATATGACGAAATTGACGCCGCACCTGAAGAGCGAGCTCGGGGTATTACGATTAACACCGCCACCGTTGAGTACGAGACTGAGAGCCGACATTACGCCCACGTTGATTGCCCTGGCCATGCTGATTACGTCAAGAACATGATTACTGGTGCTGCTCAAATGGATGGCGCAATTTTGGTTGTTTCGGGCGCTGATGGCCCAATGCCACAAACCAAGGAGCATATTTTGTTGGCTAAGCAAGTGGGTGTCCCCAATATGGTGGTGTTTCTCAACAAGAAGGATCAAGTTGATGACGAGGAGCTTCTGGAGCTTGTGGAATTGGAGATGCGTGAATTGCTTTCGTCTTATGAATTTCCAGGTGATGATGTCCCAATTGTTGCTGGTTCTGCTTTGTTAGCTCTGGAAGCTCTAATGGCTAACCCCAATATTGTTAGAGGCGAAAACGAATGGGTGGATAAAATTTTTGAACTTATGGATTCTGTTGATAGCTATATTCCCATACCCGAAAGACAAACAGATCTTCCATTTTTGCTTGCTGTTGAAGATGTTTTCTCTATTACTGGTCGTGGTACCGTGGCGACAGGGCGTGTCGAGAGGGGTACCGTTAGAGTCGGAGAGACGGTGGATATTGTGGGATTGAGGGAAACTAGAAACACAACAGTAACAGGGGTGGAGATGTTTCAGAAAATTCTTGATGAAGCTTTGGCTGGGGATAATGTAGGATTGTTGCTTAGAGGTGTTCAAAAGGCTGATATCCAGAGAGGGATGGTTTTGGCCAAGCCTGGCACCATCACCCCACACACCAAGTTTGTTGCAGTTGTGTATGTGTTGAAGAAGGAAGAGGGTGGTAGACATTCACCCTTTTTCGCCGGTTACCGACCACAATTTTACATGAGGACGACCGATGTCACCGGTAAGGTGACTTCGATTATGAACGACAAGGACGAGGAGTCCAAAATGGTTATGCCAGGAGACCGAGTGAAAATGGTTGTCGAACTGATAATGCCAGTGGCTTGTGAACAAGGAATGAGGTTTGCCATCAGAGAAGGTGGAAAGACTGTTGGAGCTGGTGTGATCCAATCTATAATCGAGTGAGTGGTAAGGAGAAACAACTTAAATTGTGGAAAATCAACTGAAATGTTCGTTACTCCTTTAAGTTAGGCTAAATTTGAACCAACATCAATGATTTCTTTTCTTCATTTTCTGTAACTTTCTGGATTTTCAATGCCATATATTTGTAGTTTTGTTATTATCTTGTTGGCTGGCGCAGACATGTCCCGTGGCTGGACACTGTTTTTATGATGGTATAATTTGCGGATACCTTTTTGTCCCCTCTCTTGTGCTGCTTAGTTTTGTGGAGGGTCTTTCAATGAAGCATCTGCATTTATGCATTCTACCATTCCTTTGTGATAGTTCTTCTTCGTTTCTCTCTGAATCCCACACTCTATGTCTGTCAAACAAACGGTACCAAAATGATTTGTTGTTGCCATCGTTATTGTTTGAAGGTAAAATCTTGCAGAGTTAGCTTCATTTGCAGCTCATCAATAGCATCTCATTGGATTGAAATTCTTGTTTTTTGATATTGCCATGAAGTTATTGAAGGCATTAGTAGGTTGTTGGGCTTTGGCTGATGACTCTGTTTTCATAAGCTATAATCTATCAATTGCTCTGCCGTCACTGAATTACGCTGCTAGTTTGGATGTTTATGATACTGTTTGTGGGTGTTGCACAGTGGCTTCAGGCTGGTGATACTTGCACAGTGGCTTCAGGTGTAATTTTGGTTAAGAAAATGTCTTGTAGTATTCGTTTTGCTTTGTTCTCTTCTTTCAATAACTAAGCTTTTTCTGATTTTACCATTCATTGAGACGGAAGGATACGAGATTCTCAGTTCTTGTATTGGTCTCTCGCTATTCTCACAGAACCTGTAGCTATGCCTAGGAAACCTTATGATCCATGAAGCATTTGGAGAAAAAAACAAAATCGTTTTGTGAGGAATATTCAAATTTGATGAAATTTATAGACACTTTCACTAGAAAACAGGTTTATTTTTCAACTTTTTTCATTTCTTGAGTGAACATACATGGAAACGTCCAAAAAAAAAAAGTTCCTTTCTCGGTTTTGTCTGTTACAATTGTTACAATCTTCCACTCATATATTTTAAAGGTGAGATATGTATGAGTAGCTTTAAAATTGATTCAAATTGATACTATACATATCTCTCCTTTTTATTCTTCATTTAGTATTTTAGTTCATTTATCCTCATTTACTCTTTCAATACCCTGTCTGTCTAAACGAGTAAATAGATATCGGTAAGGAAAATATAAAAAAAGAAAAATATAAAAAAAGAAAAAAAAGAATATGGTTGGGTGAAAGGGGAAGGTCACGGTTGGCTTTAAACAGAAGCAAGTCCTACTCTTCTTTCCTTCCTCCACTTTCATTTCACTCTTCCTTCCTGTTTGTTTCAAGTTTGATGCATTCAGACCTCGATATATACACATATACATTACCTAACCTACTCCCAAGAAAATGACCTTTTCCAACTCTCCAATTTCAACACAAATTTTGGATCTTGTCTCTGTGTTCCAACTCAGTCTTCCTGCTGTTCTTCCTGTTCTTCCTGTTCTTCCTGTTCTTCCTCGCATACACACACGCGCACGCACACACACCACATCCAAACCAACACAATTCACTTCTTTCTAAAACTCTAATAAATACCAACAATTATTCAATATCATAGCTTCTATCACATGTGACACATAATAATATAATCGCTACCTACACTCTACTACTAACATAGATACTACAACAACAACAACAAAACATAAAACCCATTACATTTGTCTGAATTTAGATGTTGCAGACATGATTAAAGGACATACATAGATTTATACATATATATATTGTCGGACCAGGGCGCTTGATTCCCCCGTGCTTGGATGAGCTCAGGCAGCTGCTACACCAATTCTCCCCCGCCAAGCACCTCCAAATTCTTCAAACCATCCTCCATTGAGGGCTGGAAGAGGAAGAAGAAGAAGAAGAAGAAGAAAAGGGCAGCGCTCCATTATAGGGTGTGTTTGAGAGCAGAGAGCAGAGCAGGAGAGCATGAAAATGGGGTTATATAGTGAATGAAATTATTCCCGCATGCATATTGGGATTGGCTTTACATGTTAGAGTGGGTTTAAAAGGGATGGAGGGAGGGATGGTGCCCTAAAGGTGTGCCTCTATACGCCCTCCTAAAACCCCAATACCAACTTTTAATTTAACCCTTTCCCCTTTTTCTCTTTCTGTCGGTTCTTTCAAATTCTTGTTGCTCTCCTTCCACGCTTTCCCTCCTCATATTTCAATAATTTCCTCCTCTTTTTTCATTCCTCTCTTTCTTTTTAACACCTCCTTCAATTTTGTCTCTCCTCCCTTCCTACTTCTTACCACAATCACCCCGGAGTCATTACTATAGTCGTCGCCCTCGTGACTTTTGAAACGCATATGCTAGGGAGAGGTTTCTACAGGGAATGCATTGTTCTCCTCTCCAACCAATTGTGAGATCCCACGTTGGTGGGAGTATTTCTGTGTAGAAACCTCTTCCAGACGGATGTGTGTGATGTCCTCGCTTGCTATTTACACATGTTGGCTGAATGATCTTGTGTTATCTCCTACAAAATCTAGGGTATATGATCGGAATCCATTGTGTTCCACCAAACCCTAAATCCAAAGACCAGAAGTGCGTCCGGAGCAATGGCAAAGGGACGCGTAAGAGGGGTGTCTGGCATGATGGGTAGGCATAGCAGTGTGTGTTAAACCAAGCTTTGCAATGAAGTCAATGGAGGTGGAGCCTGTTCGCTGACACATGTGCTGCGTATGCCGGCCACCAAAATTCCCCACTCACCGGAATTCTCTTATTTTTTTCTCATTGCCTTTCTCTGTCTTTTTCACTTTTTCATCTCCAATGTTTTACCTTTCTAAGAAATTATACCAATTACGAGTTTACAATACATCAACTTTATTTATTTATTTATTTTTATTTTTTTTTGTAAGAACCTAAATACTTTATAATGCATATAGTAATGAAAAATGGACTCTTTTTTCTTTTTCTTTTTCTTTTTTTTTTTTGAATGGGCCAACCCGCTCTTTTGAGTTGGCATTCATACCCATTTGAAAATGGCTCGAGAACAAAGCTCTTGTGATGTTTTAGTAGTAAGCACATGTGTCAAATGATCCAATTTCAATATTCCTCACCATAAAATTGAAAAATATTGATGGTAATTTAGTTAATGTCCCTTATAGGATCAGCCGGCAATTTTCTACTGATAGGGAATAGGAGACTAAAGAAGTATAGCATATTAGCGTCTGAGACTATAGCCTTATAGGATCAACAAGTTGGTTTCTACTGATAGGGAATAGGAGACTAAAAAAGTGTAACATATTGACCGAGAATATACCCTTAAAGGATTAACGAGCTAATTTCTACTTAGTATATCATGTTCTGACGAAGCTCAAATATAAGCTATTTTGTACCAAAAGAATTGAGCTCCACTCACTGGGCTAGATGTCAATTAATTTAATTTGTACTTTTTTTAATAAAAATAAAGATTAATTAAATACAATTTAGCCTTAAAATTTGTAAGAAATGAAAAATTAAAAAGAATAATAATAATAAATAGTGAACATACCCGACCCGACCCGACAGCGATAGTGGTGAAGCCGTGCCGTTAAACCCTCAAAGAACCCCAACTCGGAGATCTTCTTCATTTGAACATCATCTGGAACGCCGATTGGAGTTTCCCTGAGCAACCATGGCGAGAAGAAAGGCAATTCTGACTTCCCTCACGCTGGCAAACTCGCTCTATTCGACTCGGTCTTGCTATTCTCAGGTGACTCGGTTTTTGCCTTCTTCTCTTTCTCATCAATCCCGCTTTCCCCCTTTCACAACAAATCATCGTATACTGTTTTTCTCATCGAAGCCTCATTCGCTTCTCGAGCTTGTTTTGGCCAACGATTGGTCGGAAACTTTAGAAACAGAGTTAGAGACTTTAAACCCTACACTCACACACGAAACTATGGTCTATGTCTTGAAAAGACTCGATAAAGAACCCCAAAAGGCCTCGGATTTCTTCGACTGGGCCTGCGGGAAAAATGGGTCTACTCAGAGTTCTCCGATTTATAGCATTTTGCTTAGGATTGTTGTTCAAAATGAATCGATGAAGCAGTTTTGGATTACGTTGAGAGTTATGAAAGAACGGGGGTTTTACCTTGATGAGGAAACTTATTTGACCATTTTGGGAGTCTTGAAGAGGGCAAAGAAGGCCGCTGATGCCACGGCTTTGACTCATTTTTACAATCGGATGCTGCAAGAAAATGCCATGGATAGTGTGGTGCAGAAGGTGGTTAACATTGTTTTACGGTCAGAGTGGAATAATGATGTTGCTGAAAAACTTGAGGGGCTTGGCATTGTATTATCAGATAGCTTTGTAATTAGAGTGTTGAAGGAACTTAGAAATTTTCCATTGAAAGGCTTGAGCTTTTTTCATTGGGTTGGTTGTAGACCGGATTATGATCACAACACAGTTACATACAATGCAATTGCCAGGGTTTTGGGACGGGATGACTCGATTGAGGCGTTCTGGGGTTTGGTTGAAGAAATGAAGAATGCTGGTCATGAGATCGATATCGATACTTACATAAAGATCTCTAGGCAGTTTCAGAGGAGCAAGATGATGGGTGATGCTGTCAAGCTTTACGAGCTTATGATGGATGGGCCTTACAAACCCTCATTGCAGGATTGCAGTGTGCTTTTGCGGAGCATCTCTGCTAGTGATAATCCAGATTTGAGCTTAGTGTTTAGAGTGGCCAAGAAATTCGAGGCGACAGGGTACAGTCTCTCCAAAGCTGTTTACGATGGAATCCATAGGTCATTGACAAGTGCAGGAAAGTTCGATGAAGCGGAGAATATTGTAAAGTCCATGAGAAATGCAGGGTATGAACCTGACAATGTTACATACAGCCAATTGGTATTTGGACTTTGCAAGGCTAGGAGACTTGAGGAAGCCTGTGAAGTGCTGGATGAGATGGAAGCACAAGGATGCGTTCCTGATATCAAGACTTGGACCATTTTAATTCAAGGACATTGTACTGCCAACGAAGTCGACAAGGCATTAGTTTGTTTTGCAAAGATGATAGAGAAGAATTGTGATCCCGACGCCGATCTTTTGGATGTTCTAATTAGCGGTTTCCTTGGCCAGAAAAAGTTAGATGGTGCTTACCAATTGCTGATTGAGTTGGTGAATAAGGCTCATTTAAGACCATGGCAGGCAACATACAAACATCTAATCGAAAAGCTCCTTGAAGTAAGGAAACTTGAGGAAGCTATTTCTCTTCTTAGGTTAATGAAGAAACAGAACTACCCACCTTTTCCTGAACCATTTGTTCAATATATCTCCAAGTTTGGTACAGTGGAGGATGCTGCTGAATTCTTGAAGGCTCTGAGCTCCAAAGAATATCCTTCCATGTCTGCCTATCTTCATGTTTTTAATTCATTTTTCAACGAAGGTAGACATTCTGAGGCCAAAGATCTGCTCTTTAAATGCCCACATCACATTCGAAAGCATAGTGAAATTTGTAAGCTCTTTGGATCTGCAGAAAGCAAAAGCACTACTACTACTACTACTACTCAATCTTCTCCCAATCCAATTGGAACTTAATCATCAGGATTAACAACGCATCGGATGCAGTTTCAGTTAGGCCGACGAGGATTAAGTCCACAGACTGGAGAAGTCCAAGTTCATGAATGCTTATATCTGCTCATGTAGCTGTTCTGGTTTGCAAAAAACTAGCAGGCCTGCAGTTGGTGGAGGGAAATAGTTGCCTCCTTGTCTTCGTCTTTTCGATTCTTCCCATCAGTTTGGACCATTCACTCATCATAATTTATCTGCCTGCTGATATATCTAATTTCGTACCATATGACTTGTCTCTCTTCCCTTTTCTTTTGGTGCCTGTTCTTCTGTTTACATTCTTTTTGTAATCCAATGTTGCCATGTACGTGTGTTATGAATACTTCATATGCTCCTTAGCACATGATGTTAATGTATGCCCTGATGCAAGTATGCCCTGATGCTTGTTTTAGGCATAGAAATATCCTAAAATTCGACGATTTTAGCAGAAGCTCTTTGGTGTTAGTGATATGATTCCGCATGTCTGAACTGAATTTGTGTGGATCTTAAGGAGAGAGAGGGAGAGAGAGAGAGAGAGAGTGGGAGGGAGGCGTAAACTAATGAAAGTCACATGGAAGGCAGGAAGGAAGAACTCATCTCTCTGAGCTCTTCCGGTTCGTGTGTGTGTTTCGCTTCCTTCAACCCTTTTCATTTCTTTTTATTTCCTTTCATTCACTCTCATTCTTCACACCAAATTTTGAATGCTTTTTGTTTTCCCATAAAATGAATTTCGTATTCTATTTATTAATATTAAATATTATGTTTGTTTGTATCTCAACTTTTCAATTTTTGGACTATGCTTTCTCCAATATCACTCTTATGCCTCAAAATCTATTAAATTAAATATATATTCTTTTTTTTTTTTTTAGTATTAAACTTTTTTTTAAATAATTACTTTAGTCTTACTTATAATTTAGACTTTTCATAAATATTTTTGAACTTCCTCGCATTCTTTTTTTTTAGAACTTCCTCGCATCCTTTTTTTTTTATTCATCATTCTAACGATTTATATTTTGAAACATTTATAAAATAATCGTACAGAAACATATACAATCAAATTTTACCCTAGCATTTTCTCAAGGCCGCTACAATGTGACTATATGGCTCAATCTACAACCACTATCAAATAAACTAAAATTCCCCCAATTTCTCTCTCCGGACAAAATAAAAAACCATTCTTTTCTTCGATAATTGTTAAGATTAAACAGAAACAGAAAGTGAATCGATCTCCATCGACCGAACCACGGCGACGAGGCTGAGGACGGCGGCGAAACCAACAGCAACAAGCCCTCTTTCTTTAACCAACACGGCGCCCAAGTACATGGCTACATCAGCGGTGATCTGTCTTCCCTGTTTCACCAAAACCCGCCGTCGGTTTCCGGCGAACGCCAACAGCACCAACACCGTGATCCACGCCACCATGGTGGCTCTCGCGGCCACCACCGCCACTCCGGCAACCACTAACAACCCCACAATTGGAACCCATCGCCCCATCAAATCAAAATTAAGAACGACAATACACGAACCTGAAAGCAACAGAAATATCCCCGACAGCAAAACGGCCTCCGTCACCGGAGTCGACATTCTTCTGCGCTTTGCGTTACAGAGCAATCTGACGAGAGTATGTGCTTTTTATGCAAACTTTCCGTTTGTTATTTGTTTTTATATATGAATTATTATGACAACTCAAATGGATATTAATTGAATCTTGGATTTTGATTGATTATTTCAAAGCTGGTTCAAGATTGGTGTTTGGGAAAGGAATTGGCAGCCATGTGCTGCACATGGGGAGGTGCTCGACCTCATTATGTGGGGGCCAATATATCTTTTCAAGCTACAAAACTAATTTCTGCCTTCAATTCATAAAATATTGCAATTTATAGTATATGATATTTTTATTTCAGCAATCATTTTTTTTTCTTTAAAATATTCTTATAAAACTAATATTTAGTGAAAATTGAATAGACACTTAATTTGACGAAATTAAAATTTATGATTAAATTTGATATAAATCCCTAAAATTAGGGATATAAGATGTTTTATAACAAGGTTGGTACTTGATAATGAGCTTTGATTGAAGTAGTAAGTCAACTGCCAATTGCATAATTTAGGGACTACTCTCTGCATGTGCCCATATATTTTTAATATAAATTTCATTCCTTTTTTTTTCTCTTTATGTCCTAAAGTTTTATATTAATGAAATCATATATTTATTTAATTGTGATTAATTAGTGTTGCCAACTAGTATAATACAACTTAAATGGGTAAATGATAGGAAAATAAGTAAGTCGATCGGATCCAATAAAGAAGATCAAGTTGTTTAACCTCGCGACATTTGTACATATCAGCTCTCAATTCTCATATGAGAGGAAGACTTGAGCCATACAGTAGTCTTTCCTTTGCTTTGCTTGCCTGATGGAAGAAGATTTATATATATATATAAGAGTAAATAAAGAAAAAAAAAAATTAAAAAGGAAAAATAGGAAGTATGAAGGACCTGGTCCTCCCAGTTTGTGTTAAAAGTAATGAACAAAAGCAGAATGGATTGTAGACAACTTCCACATGTAATTCCCATCCATAGTCCCTGTAATTATCCATAATATCAAACTTTCTTTCTTTTATTTGTTACTTTTTAAAATCTTAATTTTCAACCAAATTCAAACGAGAGTTTAACAATAACTATAATTATTTTAAGGTAATTAATAATTAGAGAGAAAATAAGAAATAGTAATATATATACCTTCGCTCCAAAATTCAACAGAAAAGTGAAGATTATAGCGCAAGGTAACCCAAGTAGGTAATATGCTCCAAGGTTCACCCATGCCCCTATCTTCTGCCATCCACATCCTCTAGCTATCCCTGAATACCCATTTATTAATAACAAATTACACCCAATATCTCTTACTTACTGGGTACCACAAATACAAAAAATGTATTTGTAGCACCGGGTTAATATATAGAAAAAACTGACGTGTCATATAATAAATACGAAACTCAAATAAAGAACTCTAGAAAATTTCTCGGGAATCATATCGTACCTGAAAGGACGCCTTGGATGGCATCCATAAAGTTGGAAGTGGCAAGTATTGGCATTATCATACTCAAATATTTCACCACCTCTGCTTCATTGGTGAACACATAACCCCATTCGTTCCTCAAAGCAATTAGTAAAATTCCTAATGCCATTCCTTCTGCGACCCCCAAAACCACCACTACCTTCGCTGCTAGCCTAGCTGCCGTTGCCTTCCCTGCCCCTAACTCATTCGACACTCTTGTGCTTCATTCATAACAGCAACATTACAGTTTCAGTTATATCAAACTATAAATTTAGTCTCCAAAACTTAAAAGTTGGTATCTATTTGGTCTCCAAATTTTTAAAAAAAAAAAAAAATTCATAAATTTTCAATTTTGTGTTTAATAGATCTTCAACCCATTCAAATTTATAAACGGGTAATTTATACCTCACTACACTGCCGAAGCCATAGGTGATTCTGAAAACCAGCGAACTTGTGCTCAAGCTGCAACCAAATCATTTCACACATAATAATTATAAGTCTACTTGATCATTGTGCTTACCCAATATGTTGACTACATTATCTAAGAATAACTGAGCTCAAAATTAACTTACAAAATGATGCTTTATTTGATAAACCAAGTGTTAAGTCGGTACATACAAAATTAAAAGTTTTAAACTAGCAAATATAATAGACCCAACCTGATCGACAGCATCGACGTTTCCAACTCCGGATTGGGAAGAAGCCCGGACATGAGAACTAAAAACTCGTACGACCAGTACTCCAAGCTGCCATTCATGAATTAAACAATATTATATCATGAAGTTTGGAAATGTTTATGTATGCCGATTAAAGAGTGTTCAAGTTGCAAACGATAAATAACTTAGGAGATACCGACCGGGTCAGTTACTTTACTCACCATACCATGAGTGAAGAAGGAATCGCCAAAGCCAAGAAGCCAACCAAATTCTTGATTCCATCAATGGAGAAGCCAGTCCAAGTCTTCTGACATTGAGGAGAAAACTTGATGTACAGACCCAAAACCAGCACATTGATCCAGTAAGTTATGGCAGAGGACAAAGCAGCTCCTATGATGCCAAACCCAAATCCATAAACCAAACCCCAACAAACAAAAAGATGGATCAGACTGGAAGCTCCGGTGGCAATCAGCAATGGAGAAGTTAGATTTTGAGTCTGTAAGAATCTAAGTTGGCACTGAAGAAGGCCATAAGGGATGATGCTGGGGATTAGCCACTTGCCATAGATTCCAGCTTGCTCTGAAATGAGTGGGTCTTGTTTGAGAAGTGTGAAGATTTGTTGGATTGATGCCCACAAAAGGGCTATGGGAATGCAGATAATTGAAATGACTACCATGGCTCTTTGCATGTGGATCCCGAGCATGTGATATTGTTTTGCTCCATAGGCTTGTCCACATAGTGTCTCTAATGCACTGCCCATTCCTAGCTACAAAAATGTGAAATAAAGAACAAAAATTTGTTGATTGTGAGAGTACTGATTGAACATTGGATTTCCATATGTTAATTCGAACCTAAAATGAAGAGGAGTTGAAAAGAAAACAATTGGCAATGGTTGGCAGTACAAGAAAGGAAGATGAAAGGAAGATAAGCAGCATACAAAGAGACTAAAGCCAGTGACTCCAGCAAAAGAGAATGCCATTGAAGCACCAGAGAGTTGCAGCTCTCCAAGATGGCCAATGAACATGATCGATATCAGCTGCAAACTATACTGCAAAAAGCTCACCAAAACCAGAGGACCTGCCAGCCCCATCTGCTTCCTTATCTCAGTCATCACCTCCTCCCATCCCTCTCCATTATCCAACGCCTTCAAATCCCTCTCACACTCCGAAACCAAATGGGCTTCATCGAGATTAAGCAACTGTGTGTTGTAATCTGCATCCATCAAGATTAAGCAGCAGCAGACAGAAGTGTCAATTTCCAAAGAATGCAAAAGAATATGCAAATAGGGCCACAAGAACACAATCCCAAGGCACTGCCTTTTAAATTGAAATCACGTCAGGTAGTTGCTAGTTTTAAATTAATAAGCAAAAAGGGCCACATGAACACCGAGGGGAATTCGTTTAATATAGAAAAGTAAACGCAATCACCACGTCATAAATAGCAATTGTTTATAGTGACAAACATGAAGATGGGTTGCGTGAGGAGGCAGAAGCTTCATTTATTTGACACTAATAAACTATAATAAAAGTTGAGTGAAGGAGACTTATCTTAGAAATGAACAGGAGAATCTCAGTAGCATTCACTTGGCGATATGCATGCAGTCGCAATGTGAAGCTTTGGATTGCAGGACAACGCAGCAAAGAAAAGGTTGAATTGTTTCATTTCGGTGGCAGTCCAATTTTGAAACGCAGACAGACTTGAGCGTTCAAAATTTCAAGGCACGCTCACGCCTCTGTTTTGAACACAGCCGACAATATGATAAACCTTTAAATCACTCCAACCAGGATCAAGAAGCCTTCGAATCAATCACTCACATTTTACACCCAACTAAAAGTAGTTCATTTCTTTTATTTATTGGAAAGGCCAACCAAAGCAGGATCCGCTACAATGGATCTAATAATGAATGAAATCAACGTTTCCCTGTAGTTTATACACATACAAGATCTCTCTAGATTACACAAAAGTCAATCTGTGTTCAAACGTGACAAAGTGATCTAGAATATGTATATATACATGAAACTATCAAAAGACTAAAAAGTATATGTTTTCTATCTCTTCTTTCTTTATCCTTTACACGTACATATATTTCATACATGATGTGATAGTAATGTTAGAAATGAATAGCCAAAGATAATCGATGGCTTCAAAGTGCAAGGAAAAGAAGTTGATTTAAACTAAATATCGGAGTGAGAGAGTCATTCAGGTCAAACTGGATGGGAAAATATGGTTATTAGTAAGGAGAAATGTACAATGCGGCCAGTAATGAACCGGGGAGAAATGTAAGTAACCCAGCAAATTTCCCTCACTGTTCAATTGCCGTAGACACGCTACAAAAACACACAATAGCAAACTCATCCAGGCTTCAAACTCCAACAAAAATTGCTTATAATTGTGGCTTGTTATGAGTTCTCATGACATTATAAAGAATCTACTGAACCTGATCGAGGCCTATCATCAAGGACCCAAAATCAGTGTGGGGAGAAGGAAGCAAGGCCGTGACAGGTAGAGGTGTAAGGAATGTAAACATGGGTGTAAGAGCTCCATCACATTATAGCTGCTGATCAAGAAAAGGGTCTTTCGGACTTTTAGGAGATCCAACAATTCCAGACACGGTTTCTGTAACCCCAGAAACGTAAGTCTTCACCCAAGAAGTGCTTCGAGTCAGCCATCCAGTCTGTCCTTGTTCTTCCACTGCAAGTGTTCTTTTGCTATCTTCCTCCTCAAGAATTTCAAGCCACCTCTTGGACATGAATGTCCTCACAGCATCCGGTCCTTTGTTTACGACTTCCATGGGTGGAGTTTCAAGAGGATTTTGCTCCAAGTTTAGTTTCTTTAAATTCTCAAGATGGCCAAATGTATCGGGTAGAGAGTGAATCTGGTTATTGCTAAGATCAAGTTCCCTAAGGCTGGATAAATCACCGAAGGTCTGTGGAAGTTCATTAAGGTCGGTAAAGTTACTGCTTAGGTTGAGATACTCGAGTTGAGTCAATTTCCCAATTGCCTGAGGAAGGCCATGAAGCTCGTTGAAATGAGCATCCAGGTAACGCAAAGAGCTCATACCACAAACAGAAGAGGGAAGTGAACGTATTTTGTTTAACTGGATAGCAAGCTTCTGCAAATTCACCAGTTCATGGCCAATATTTGTTGGCAAGTACGTTAGACTGTTGAAGCTCACATCTAACTCCACCAATGACCTACGGATTCAAGACGCAAAAATAGAAGTCTTAACTTTGCAGCAGAGAATTCATAATAAACCATAGCTGAATATATTTTTAAAAAAAACGTGTGAAATGTGGGTACTGTACAGTCATGGAGAAATGCTAGAAAGATGACTTTTTGTTCAAAAACATGTAAAGTGAGGGATTTAAACACTCTTGATCAAAGGAATATGCCTTAAGCAGTTGATCTATGATCATATTGGCAAAATGATAGAAAGGTGTTATTTCTTGCGTAGTACCTGCACTGGCATATTGTGTCAGGAAGGGCGTGCAACTTGTTCCCAGAGACATTCAGGAGTTTCAGCTTTTGCAATAAACCAATTGTGTCAGGCAATGACCCCAGAAGATTGGATGAGGCATTCATCTCTTCTAGATTTTCTAAGCTGGATATCGAATCAGGGATAATCTGCAGTAGTTGTAAATGCAAGTGAAGAAATAAAAAAAATAATTGAAGAAACAAATCATACAAATAAATATTCGGGCATCTTCAATTTTTAATATGGCCAACTCAAATCCAAGTCCAATATTGACAGATCTGTGAAAAGCACATGCTAAGCATATCAATGGAAGTTGAGAAGAGTATTATACAAAAAGCAAAAATAGCCCAACCACATATTTAAGATGCAAAGCATTAATAACTCAAATATTGATCTAACCTATACTTCAGGACAATCTCCTGCCATCTGCACCAGTTATTTATAGACTTCTCACCATAGATTTCAAATCATCATCATAGCAATGATGAATGATAAGACCATGGATAGTTCATTTTTTTCCTGTCCAAAAATAAGTAGCCCCAGAGTTGGAATTTCTTCCTGTTTCCTGGATTATACCAGCATCTTCCATCGAAGAAAGTTGTTAAAAGTCCCTAATAGACTTCTTGAGCTAATCTTTCTACCAAAGACCACCGTTCTTACATAGCATTGTCCGTTGGATTCTATGCATCTTGGCATAAACCACCCATATCCAGCCCCCATCTTTTACAAGAGTGCTCTGAATGCCCTATAACTGGAGGACTATGACAAAGGGGAAAAAAATTCTTGGTCCTTAACATCCCAGTGTAAATTTTCGATTGAAGGGCCTGCAAAAAGCACCATTGCACTAAGATCTAAATGGTCATCATTGACAGTAAAAGAATTTACAATCAGCAGAACTTCAATGGAATGGCCCCCGTCCATTTATCCCATCTCCAAACAGGAAGAAAATGATATCCTCAATATATTGAAATGTTAAACCAAGAGTCTAATAAGTGATTCAGATATCCACCTTAAGCACATCATTATTACAAAAGCAAACAACACTGAGGAGCTAAAAACCAGCCTTGAAACATACTGCACACAAGTCGATGTTAACGAAGACTTCTCAAACAGTTGGAACGATAAGCCATAGTTAAACCAATCGTGTGTCTCTAACAAAAATTCTAATCGCCATGTAATCTACAAAAAGCCCCTATACTCATATGAACTAATGAAGCCTTCAATTCAACATAATTTCACACACAAATGGTTCATTTGAAGAGCAGGAATTCATTATCGGTCGCTAGTATAATCTGTCACAGTGTGGTGATGATTCGACTACAGATGCAAAGAATAAGGCATTGAATGTAGTAAGCTAACCTTGAGTTGATTGCAGGAAATATCAAGCACGACCAATCCCCGGATACGTCCAAATTCTTCAGGCAAGAACCGCAAACGTCGGCCGGAGAGACTAACTCGATCAATTTGCTTCTCATTTGCCTCCTGAAGAATCCTCGCAACATCCTCATTGACCTCCTCGTTGACTGGATCCAAGCGTTGTTCCTCCGGCAGCCTTCTCTCCGCCGACTCGTAAATCTTCACCAACCTCTCCTCAGCTTCCTTCAACATCTTCTCATACGCCTCGTGCATCGCATCCAATTGCACGATCGCCGTATACACCTGCTTCTCTTTATCCGCCGCCTCCCGGCACTCGTTCTCTTGCTGAGCAAGATGAGCCCTCCACTCGAGCAACTCCACATCCGCCGGCCTAGACGAAAGCACGATTTCCTGGAGCTTGGCAGACAACTTGGATTCTACATCAGCGAGCTTAGCCTTAGCAGTATCGACAGCCTCATGGTCAGGTCTCTCCCCAAGGTTTTTGAGGACGGATCGGGTCTTAGCGACATCAGATATAGCGCTGGTCATAGAAGCCAATAACTTAGGGTCCGATAAATGAGGCATGTGATCGACGATTCGGGGGGAGGATGAGGAAGGATGGGAGGAATGATGCGGAGCGTTGCGGGACATCGGAGATGCAGGCTGTTCGATGTCGGTTTCGGTGCGCGGCGATCGAGGGCTGAGAGAGGGGATTCGGGCCAGGACATAGGAAAGGATGGGGAAACGTTTGGGGTTGGGATCCATCGCCATGGTGAGTGATCGAAGAACAATTGATCGGAGCAGAAAAACAAAGAGAGTAAGAAGGAGAATAAGAAAAAGAAGAATAAGAAAAAGAAGAACAGAAACTGGAGGGAGCGGAGATATTACACTCAGCTCGGCCAAACCTTCACACCCGGATTCATCCACGTCATCCAAGTTCGTTACAACTGTAACAGCGGGTAATAATAAATTTCCGCATTGTCGAGTTATTGATAATTCTTAATTTAAAACAAAATTTGACCATTTCTTTCATCGTTAACGCGTCCGTTGCTAATCCTTTCGCGTAAGATATACGGTTATAGATTAGAGGAATTATGGATTTTTAATTATTTTTTATTTTTTGCTCTATAAATTATACAAATAATAAACACTAACCACTATATATCAAAGAGTAGAGTATGGGTTTCTAAATTTGATAACCATATTGTATTATAACTTAGACATTACGGTCTTTATGATATAGCTTTATTCTTGTCAAATTGAGGGGTGAAAACAAATCTTAGAGATTAATTTTTGGTTAATTATTTACTATATATTGTTATTACGGTCGGGAGTAACATACTGTTAAGAATGAAAAATTGAGATAAGGTTAAGAATGAGATCTATATTAATTTATTAATTTATTGTTACCAACAAAATAACCAATCAAACCAGGGTTACCAATAAAATAAGGAATTAACTTAAAATATACGACTAACTAAATATTGAAAATAAGATAAAATATATATGGTTAATCAAATCCTAACTAAATATCGTTAATCAAATCAAATCTTAATATAAAATATTCCACGAACTAAATTTTGAAAATAAGATAAAATATATTGTAATTAAATTCTAATATAAAATATACCACTAATTAAATTTATAATTAATTTTTATAAGATATTCTTTAAATTTTATATCTTAATATCTACCTTAATAGATCACAAAAAGATTTATCGATTGAAATGCACATCAAATGAATATGGCTGTTAATGAAAAGTTTATTATATTTGAATTGTTATTAATTATAAGCATTTTCCGAGAGTTCCATTATAAAATTCCAATAATTTTGGTGATTAAATTATTCAGAAGCCCCTTGGAGT